TTAATGGAGGGGAAAATGGTGTGAAGAAGGGGAGAAGGGTGGAAAGGAAAGGGTTGAAAGAGGGTTTGAAAGCGACCTGTCAAGGGATAGAGGTAAATTGAAAATCAGCCACTGGCCTGGCCGAAATACTTGGCGAATAGTTTCGTGGCGAATTGGAGGCGAGGCTGCGTGAGAATATTCGATCGGTTGTGTTTAGTCAACCGGGGAACAGGACGCCTTTGTTCGAGAGCCATCTTCCAAGGGTGTGAACCTGTTCTCCGAGTTACAAGGGTGCGCAAGTTTGTTAGGACGCTGCAGGGTGATGGGGTGGTTTATGCTTCGAAAGTTAATCGAACGGATATCGAGTGGAATAGGGTGCGTTTGTTTACGCTTTGTTTTTTTTAGGGCTTTAGCACGATGTCGAAAATGGAGGAGCACGAGCACACCTTAATTATTTAAGGTTTTTATTTTGGTTGTATGTGGTGGGAATATGATTGATGTTTTTCTTATTACGTGAGTTTTGTAATTATTATCTTTTACGATTTCTTTGTTTATGTTTCTCTTCATCGTGGAATAATATTTTATTGGTATTTTATTTGTAGTAGATAATTTATTCTTCGAAGAGGAGATTGATTATTTCTTTCCGTCACAAGCAAAAATATAATACATGATAATAATTTTTGTATTAATAATATTTTAATTAATAATCATTTATACGTAGATAAATTTCTGATAGTATATAATTGGAAAAAATGAGATTATTGTTTATTATACGATGGATATCGATCGATTCTACAGTAACGTGAAGAATTATTAATTTTAGGATAGTATATTCAATAAGCATGGTATGTAATAAAATATAATTAAAATTTAATTTTCACTTTATTTAGTAAAAAATGTATTTGAATTTTTTAATTTTGAATTTACAATTTTAGTGACATACGTAGTGTCATTGCTCTTGAGCCACGTACTAAATGAAACATTTAATTGGCTTAAATTTTTTTAATAGAAAAATTTACATAAAAATGCAAGAACGTGGAAATTTTATCTTGAAACTTGAATAAAAAAAATGTAAAATAAACAAAACAAATATGCAGAATAAATTTCTCTTTTTTACAAATAGGATAAAATAAACAGAGATATTCCCTTCGAACTATGTATTCCATATCTAGGAATTAAACAATACTCTGGAATGTAATCAGTAAAAACTGTGGTGCTCCGTAACTTATTTCCATGGCAATTTTTACCATTACTTTATATTTTAATCCTTAGATAGCGGATTGCGCGCGACAGGGGGTTGGATTAATTTTAACTCACATAAGAATCTCGCTCGAACACTTGTTGTGGATTTAATTCTGTATTTATAAATTTTTTTTGTCAGAAAGATAAATCTTAGAATCTCTTAACATTTTTATTTCGATAAATATCGGAATACAAATCAACACCAAATTATTTTCTATTCTCTTTTCACATTTCTTTTATAATCGCGCTCATATAATTCATCATCAAATTCTGCATTTTATTTCCATTTTATTTCCAAATCTTCATATTCAAATGAAAATTTACTAGATCCAATTATACGTCCCTACATCTAATCAATCACTATTTAAATGTTACACTAAAATCCAACCATGTGTAAATACTTTTTAGACCCCCATAATCTAACCTCGAAATCACCTCGTTAGTTTCAGAGATCGGAGAGGGCCACCCGAACTTTTCATGGACTATTAAAACAAACGTAAAATATTTCCACGGTTCATAACAACCTTTGACGATCCATAAACGCGTAATTCGATTATTTTTAACGCGATTGTAAAAGGGCCGCTATCGACGAGTTAATCAGCGGAGCGCGAAAGAAAGTTTCGCTCCAGGGTTGATCGAGGGTAGACGGTGAAGTTCGTCGAATCGGAATGTAAAAAGTTATTCGATTAGCCCACTTTTGTCTACATTAATTATGATCCGATACTTTCGTGCTCTACGAACTAGCAGGGAGGTATCAGCCGCGATAGAACTTTTGCGTTAAGTGGATGAGAAAAGTTTTACTAATACCTGGAAGAGATGAATGAGAAAGAGAAACAGAGAGAAAGAGAGAGAGAATGAAAGTACAGGAATGGGATGAATGCGGAAGAGGATTGATCTACGGCCGAACGCGTTGAAGAGATTAGTCGAAGATTGGTCCCCGCGATTTTCATCGAGGCAATGGTACTGGATGTAGATTGAAGAAATTCGTTTGGATTAAGAAATTCACAAACACGTCGAATAAGAATTGTGAACGATGAGAATATTGAATGATTCAAGAACTATATTTGTTGAACCAATGATGTTTAAAATGTTATAAACGAATTTAATTGAAAAATATTCTCAGCATTGGGTGAAAGATTTTGTCTGGAAAAGACTTACTTTTTCTTTTTTTTATTAAATCTTTGATGGTCAGTTAAATATGAATGGAATATTGAATAATTTAGAATTACGAAGTTTTATTTGTCTGAAGATTAATTGATGTTTATTTAATTGTGAAGTGAAAAATATTATAAATAAATGTACTTTCAATATTATATAAGTAATAAGTTTTTTTTGAGATACAAGAAATTGTTTTTGAAAATTAAACATTTAAAACTTCGTGTATGATTTATTTTAGCTTTAGGAGTATGTATGCAATATTTATGCAGATGAAAGATACACAACCAGAGTAAAGTATTAATATAACAAAGAACATATAACTGGAAGTAAAGTACAATATTTGTCTGATGTAATATTAGTATCAAGAAATTTGATAAACTTCAAGAGAAGAATATTTCATTGAAAACTTCAAAGTAATTAATGATATGAAGTTGCTTGAAATAAGTTTAAAATAGCTTATAAATAATCAGCAAAATTATAAATGATATGCAAAAATAATTGGAATAAATATGTTTCGTTAAAGAAAAAATTTACGTCAAGATAATTACAGTCAAGCAGAAGAAATACATCTCTGTTTCTGCTCCATTACAAGTGCATTAATCTCTTAATCCTCTTTGCCCTTCTTTTTCTTCTATACCGCAAGGTAAATGCGATTTCAGTTTTAGATTAAGATTTAACCAAGTTCAAGATTTTAGTTTTAATAAAGTAAAAATCGTCTTGTGAAAGATGAAATTAAAATTAATCTTTCAGAGTTTAAGAAAAATATCCGTGTTTCGAGATCAGCGTTTGAGAGTTGAAATTAATTATGGAACAAGTTACGATTAAAACGTAGTTAGCAAACTGGGTTGGTAGCAATTTAATTAACCGTACAATGCCACTTTGCCTAATTAGTTTCTAATCATATGAAGACATCTTTGCAAGGAGCAATTACACTTCAATTCTAAACTTCAATCTACTCGAAGTTTAGAATTGCTATTATCAAATAACGATTAAATTTCAAATCAATTACTAAGAGAAATAAAATTATGTTTCAACTTTACTATTTATCCAACTTTAAAGTGTTCCAGTTCTTAAAAATTCTCCGTAACAATTTTGAATAAGAAGGGAAAGTTTAAACGAAACGTTTAACTCTTTAATTGCTTCGCGATTATTATTCAAATTTCATTTATATAAGGATGAATTTAATATTATCTACCAATTTTCATATTTTCCATAAATAAATAACGTTAACATTTTCAATTTAATAAAATAAATTTTCACATTTCTTTATTTTTAATATCACAATAATATCGTTCATCGATTATTTATTATCATCATTAGCAATATGACTAATATTAATTTCAAAAAAAAAAAAAAATATCTTTAGTCAAAAAGTAATTCAATTTACAGTTCGTCAAATAATTTTAAACGATTTCTCTCATCCAATCTCCATCTGATTTCACGCAAAGTGAAATCCAAGTTTTCGTTCACTTTCTAAAAATCATCCACTTTTCACTCCTTCAATTTTTATTGCACTCGCGGATCTGTTTCACGGAAGGAAAGCTTTATTCATAAGAAGTGTCCTCGGGGATTGAATAAGAGTATTCGAGAGGTTATCGAGGCGATATCCCCCGATAAGACGAAAGATTTCTTGGTCCAGAAAGTCGAGTTGTACAGCTCGTTAAAATCTCGTTAGAAGGGAAGTGAGGAAGTGTGTCAGGCCAACTCCTTGGGCGCAGTTTCGTAGATATCGTGCCGGAAGTCGCGTTCACGCAGAGCACCGCGTAAACTAACTTAATTACTCGCGAAATTACTCCCGTAAAAAAAAAAAAAAAAAAAAAAAAAATAATTTGCGATTAAATTAACCGCCGCGAAGATCTGACGGGTTAGAGTTTCCTTAAACACGTTGCATATCACGTGTGTGTGTGTTGTTTGCAAAAATGAAAAATTCAAGTAGGTAAATAAAAACATTATCTCTTATACTTTACAAACAAGGTAAACTCGAGAGAAAAATAAAAGAGGATATAAATAATTGAGCTTGCGCGCTATATTTTTTTAATTATTCCGAATTTTTCATCATATTTCGAATAAATTTAGTTAGGAAAATTAATTTTCAATACTTGTGCGTTCATTTCATTTTGTAATTGCTTTGAATCAACCAATATTTAAATCGAGATTTTAATTTATTCGATATTAACTCTTCAACCGATCATTTTGTATATGTCATGATCAAGATCGTTATACAATGAGAACAATGTATATATTTGCATTTGGAAAATTCGCTTTTGTTATTTTATTGAATTTATATCAAGAATAATATAATAATATAACGATACGCGAAAGATCAGCGATAAATAATAAATAAATAAAAAAAAAAAATTCATGCTATCTTTGGAATACATTTTATTAGCGTTCGAATAATATATAAAATAAAAAATAATAAATAAAAGTTCCATTGTTTTTTTTTTCATATAAATTATTCATGAAATGACCTGATACGTCTAAATTAGATCTTAAAGATTATTTACGATTCGTAGAAGTAGAACAAAAGGTAGAATATTTCATTTTAATATTTTCATTCAGACTCCTTGAAACGATTGAGGGATATATCGGAAGAAAAATTGAGCGAATAAAGAGCTTACCTGAGTCTTTACGTCGCCGCCAACGCTAACCTTAGATTGAAAATTGCTCCGATCTATGAGGATTTTAGCGTTATTTATGTAGACTTCTTGACCGTGAGTGCCTGGTCTCCTGGTGACCCACAAGGGTGGATTACCCTCTAACTCCGACGAGATTGAGTCTCCTAGATTCTCGATCGTCTTTGGGAAATTCGCTGGAACAAGAAAACGAATTTTTTTCTTTTTCATATTCTTTTCAATAAAAAATTTTATTTTCTAATATATTTTATGATATAACAGGGATATACGCGGTAAAGGCAGAATTTCAGTATGAATTAAACAACAGAGGAAATTTTAGGATTACAACATATTCAAAATAGAACTTCTCGAATTATTAGCGATGAAATCAATTTAACAGAGGAATATTCATGCACCATTGCGTTAATACTGATTTAGAATCATTTCAATTACTATTTGCTCGGTATTATCTATTCCGATGATTTTATAAATGATAAACTAAAATTATCGAGATAGATTTGAATTTCTATTTTCTTAATATCTTAATACGTTCTTCAATTTTTTAATAAAATATTAAACGATTAAATTTTTTGCATAAATCTTTTACAACAAAATCGATTCAAAAAATGATCGTTCGTCATTATGTGACAGTAGCATTGCAATAAAAATAATTTATAATCCTTGAAATTACAGTTTCTGTTATAAAATAGTATAAAAACAAAAATATTCTACATAATTTCTATATCTTTCATAAATCATTCGCATGTTATCAACAATAAAAAAAAGAAACAAAATATATATTTCGATCAAATATCAAATATCAAATATATCGCGAAAAAAACATATGATATAAAATTTTTTTTTCGATCGTAATAATTTTATCATTCTGTATACCTTCTCCAATCTCTCTTAAACGCCAGCGCAGTATCACTTAAACGCGGAGGGAGGCACAGTTTCCAGGAAAGGGCCGTAAAACTGGCAACAACTGGAATAAACAGGACAGAATCCCGCAAAGTACAATCCATCAAACGTGTTGCCTTCTCTTCTCATCGTCGGCCACGAGCCAAACCGTAAAAAGATCGTTCTCGCTCGAATCCAAGCTCGTCACCGAGCGCAAAAATTTTATTTTCAACCGCAATTCGAGCACACGCGAATTACGAGAGCGCGGAAACGCGAAGGGGACGGGTTGGAATAAAACAAAAACAAAAAAAAAAAAAGGAAAAAAAAGGAAAACAAAAAAAAAGAAGAAGGAAAGAGAAGGCAAAAGAAAGACCAAGGGAAAGAGATAAAGCTCGAACCAAAAGGGAGGAAATGGGAGAAGGGGTGGTAAAGAGTTCGCCGCGAAGCTACAAAGCTTGGTCTCTTTATTATCTCGTTACCGGCTAGAATGTCCTCGTAATCTTTGAGCTTTTTTCCACTCGGTATCTACCTTGGACTTCTACGATAGTATAGATAACGCTCTGCATTTTGCGGAGAAAAGTTCAATCTCGGCGGTAAAAGGAGGTGGAAGATGCGCGATGGGAGCAACAACAATGACGCTCATTACGAATGCCAGGGATTGGGTCCTGTTTCGTTGAATTGCCAGCTGTTTTCAAAGCTTTCTCAAACACTGATCTCCTTAGACATTCATGGATGCATAGCTACGGTTAGATAAATCGGTGAGGACGCCCCTAGCTTGTGATATTTGGATATAATTTCATAAATTTGTGCACGTTAAACATAATAGGTTATCTAAAAAATTTAATTTTGTTTTGTTGAATTGTTTTTCTATCCGATTAAGAAATATCTCGATTTTCTTGAATCTTCGAACTTTAAACATTTTCTTAAGCGTATCTGGTTGATATTTTTTGGTAATCTTAAAAAATTGCAGCTTGGCTATCCGGATACAAGCTTGGCCAACATAGAAGAGAAAAATTTTCGCGCGGAGTGAATATAAATCGATCGCGCAAACAGCTTTGTACGAATATTCTCGTTTTGTGGTCTGGGGGAGGGGGGGCCATCGCACCTGTGCCCCAAGGGGTTCCCCGCCGGAAAATAAATGGGATTCGATCGAGGACTTAATCATCCGCCTTCGTTGAAAGGGACGTCTGGGACAAAACGATGCAGAGACGGGGGGGAGGGGACCTATTGATCGTTCAATGGAACATATTTGTCTAGATTTTTCGATCGTCGTACGTGCGATTCGTCGCCCCCCACGATGAATAATGCCTCCGCTTTTATTTGCTCCCGGCTGCCTTGTTCACGGGTGTAATTTAACGGTATCAAAGATTTTCTTGTTTCCGCTTGCCAGAGATTAATGGCGGAATGCGGCAGTAACGTTTATGAGTTATGCACTTTTTCCCGTTATATTTGGGATTGTGTGGTCTAATTTTTTAATTAAAATCATTACTACTCCTTATTTACCTCTGTTTAATTGATATTTAAAAATAGGATTTTTTTATATTGCTTTTATCGAGATACGTAAATTGAAATGTAATTTTTAAAGAAAGTAAATTTTATCGGCATGATTTTGTTCTTCGTAAAAAATATTCATTTTCATTCAGTTAAATGTCGTTATATTTTTTCTATCATTCTATTTGGATTTTACGATTAAATTTCCAAGAAATGCATAAACTTTCGTATCTTTCAATTATCAATCTTCTCTATTCCTTGATATCAAATAATAAAAATATTCTCTTTTTTTCATTTATTGTACAATATCAAATTAATACATGAGAATATGATAAAAATATCATTTACTAATCCTTCAAAACTACAATTAATCTTATCCAAAATTGCTTAATTAATCGATCAATAAATAAATCTATTCTCGATATTATACACCATGCACATCTATCATACATTTTATATAATCATATTCATCTCCATGTTTCAACCTTTTATTTTCTCATTTATCACTATATTTGCATATATGATCTTCGATTAAATCTCTCCCTTTACAAAACGAAAAGATTTCCAGATAAGTTTCCGATCAATCCTCTCTCAGAGTTCTGAAAGAACGCGAATTCAACTAAATCTGGATCGCAAAAACAATCCGAGACTGAGTCGAAGAGGGTGGACAAGTTTCCGCTGATGCGACGATAAAATGGTTGGCCAGCTCGCCATCAAACGTAAAGAAACACGAGAACGGTCGGATTCAGGGACTTGTCGAAACTGTTGTCACTCTCTCAAACCTCGTTTTCACGATGGACAGTTAAAGAAAATGATTCTCTTGGAATGGAGGATTTTTCCAATAGAAGAAGAGATATTGTCAAACGTGTAGCCAAAAGTTTAGAAAGGAGGAGGATAAAATAAATTTTATTTCAAATTAATTATTTATCTTTTTAGAAATATTGTTGATCAAGAGGTTGGTCATAGATTGATTTATTTTTCATTGATATATAGAACATTCAATCTCAACAAAATTCTCGTGCAAAACTTTTCAATTTTTTATTGCGATCCATTTCGATTTTTACTTTGGAAAAATAAAAATTCCAAAAAAAAAAAAAAAAAATACAAAATCTGTATATTTCTTCGCGTTGAACGTGGTATAAACGTATCGTCGACGAATCACAGAAAGGTATGCAAAAAAATTCAATCCGATATTCCTTCTCGTAATAACATTCCAAACAGGCGTCAGTTCGAATAGTCTATTTGTAGGTTAAATTTCGGGAAAAGGTGGAGGGTAAACAGACCTTATAGAAACGTGGCTGGGGAGCTCGGAATAATTTCGATTCCAGTGCCCGTTGCACGGTCGTTTACACGGGCGCATACCGGCGTGGGATATTTCAGTACATTGAGAAGCAAGGGGCGCGGCATCTTGTTTGGACACTTCTTTAAATCAATTACGAGTTCCTGGCAGGCAAGTTCGTTGGGCAAGTAGCGGGCTTCTACCCCTTCCAATTCGACGAAAGTTCGACGAGCACCACCTCCTCCACCACACGGAAACATAGCATCAAACTCTCGGTTTCCGGATTGTTTGCTCGGCTTCGACGGATTCAATCGACGCATTTGCGATTCAGATGATGATCGTGGCAGCTTACGCTCGTGAAATTCGAATATCGCAATTACCCTGCACCCGGGTTACTGCATACCGATTTTCAAAATTCCTCCCTCGCTTCTGGGGTTATGCCTCGTACAGTGCGTTGATTGTAAGTTTGTATAGATGATTCGTAGGACGAACACGTTGATACAAATTGTCTTTAATACAAGTATAATATGTGGAGTTTGGTTTGGTAGTTCATGGAACAGAATTGAATTGGACGGAATATGAATTGGGGATACGTTATATGTGCAACTTATTTAATAACTTACATTAGAAAAATAATTAAAATGTAAAGTAATAGAGTTTCATTCGCTTTGTTTTGTTGTTGTCAAATTAATAAGATTAAATTTTTCTCATATTTTTCATAATTAAGCTATAACGTGACAAATTTTGCACTCTGACATTTTTTTTTTTATTATAAATATTAAATTGGTAATAATTAATTAAATCGATGTAATTTATTATAAAAGTTATTTAAGAAATTAGTTAATTCGATAAGAAAATATCGTATAAAGGAATTATTATTGTAATTTTGTAATAATTGATAGATTCGATGTTGGTAAGTTATTTAAAATTGGCGACAAAGCGCGCTGATGACTAGCGCACTCTAAGAGCGCTACTGAAACTAACTAAAGCAACAGTTGCGATCCAGTCGTTAGGGAGTGAGTGTGTTTCACATTTTTAATTCTAGTTATGTAACAAATAGTGATTTAAATGATTAAAATAGTGATTTATTTTATTAGTTTATATTGTTTAAAGAATATTTCTTCGTTAAAATGGACAACGCATCAGTATCAAAGGTAAAATACACCTGTTGCTTCTACTTACATAACCTTAGAATGTAAACGCGGTATTTGCCGCGCATTTATATCGCGCAATTGATTTAATGAGTATAATATGTATAAGAATTCAACGTTGAAATTTTAATTAAATGAAAACTAAGATTTACAAATCCAACATTTAATCATTATTATTATTATATTTGAAAACGAATATTAAATTTATAAAAAATTATTTATATGAGAAATATAATTATACTAATAATTTTCTATCGTAATAAAAATTATTTGACATCTTAGCGACATCTTGATTTTTTTTTGTACTTTTTATGCTATTCATCAAAGCATATATAAATATTTTTAAAACAATCTTTATTTTTTATAAAAGAAGATAAATACTAGTTATAATACTTTTAGGGCGTTTTTGTACATAAAGGTGCATATAAAATTGGAAATAAAAAAACAAAATTTGAACAACCAGATTATATAAATGAACCATGGCACCTTACTTATAAAGAAACGTGGGATGGCATTCAAAATGCCATGGAGGTATTTTTTGCATGCTAATTTGCATTAAAAATTAGATGAAAAATTTTAGTTTTATACTCCGTCTCTTAGAATTCTGTATTACATAGTAATGCAAAATATGTATTATATTTTTTGCATTAAAATTTTAGGATGTAAGATTAAGTATGTTCCAAGAAATTTTAAATAATTTAGAATCTTTTGTTACTAAAGTCAAAAATAAACCAATAGAACAACTTGATGAAATACAGGCAGCTATTGTGTTAGCAGGTGATAAGATTAAATTATATATTTAGAGTATTTTTCACAATTGAACGCTTTTTGAAACAATCGCATTGCAGGAGTTAATGTTTCTGATCATAAAGAAATGTTTCAAAGAATAGTTTCTAAGTTAGAAGTGAAAACAAAGCATATAGCAGTTTTATGGAGCAGAGACTCAAATAATATAAAAGATATTACAGAAAAATCAATTTATCAATTGATAAATAATGGGGAGGTATATATTTGATATAAAGTATTATAATATGAAGTAACATATGTTGAAAACGTATGTTATATGTAGGATATGTATTTATAGGATGAGGATACACATATTAAAAAGAATCAATGTCATATGAGAGCTTTAAAAGCATGGCACCAAGAGCATTGTGATCAAAATGATCCTCTTATTATAATATTAACTGATTTTGAAAGTATCCCTGCTGCAGTATTACATGATTTCATTTTAATTTTAAGGTATTTTCTATATTAGGATATTGTTAGAATATTTTTTCTGATTTGTGCATTAGGGTTGTCGAATATATATTTTGTTTTTAGTGCATATGCAAATTCGATGAAATTTATTCTTATTTTTGGTGTTGCAACCACTTTATTTGCCATTCATAGATCTTTGACATATGATGTTACATCAAAGTTAAATGTTCAAGTAAGCAATATGCATTGTAGAATTGTAGAATTGATAATAAGTAGATTATTAGAGATAATAATTGATTTTTATTCAGGTATTTCAAACAAAAAAACAAATTGACGTATTATCAGATGTATTAGAAAATACTGTTTTTGGTACAAATATTCCATTTAAGTTGACTGGACGCGCGTTCCAATTATTAACAGATATCTTTTTATTTTATGATTTTTCTGTACAAAATTTTTTTCTAAGTTACAAGGTATCAATATCTTTTGTTTCCTTTTCAAGTTTCTGTTTATTTTCTTTGTCTTTCTTTGTTCTTCAATAAATTTTTAGATATGTATGATACAACATTTTTATGCAAATAATGTAAATTCTCTTTGTTGTCAACCTCACAAAATAAAAAGTAGGATGTCTTCATTGACAGATGAAGATTTGAATGAAATTAAAAAATTGCCCTCTATAGAAAAACATATTCAACAATTGACAAAAGATGGGAACAAAGATGAATTACTTGAAAATAATAAATTTAAGGTATATTCATAATCATTTTAAATTTAAAGTTATTATTGTATTTTGCAACTAAAGAAATATTGAATTAGAGCTAGTTTAGCATATTTATATTCAATATTGTAGGAAATATTGATCCAAGTTTTAAACAATTTCCATCAATATATGCATCGGTTTTTGTTAATACTCAGATGTTTGCACGATTTCATGTCAACATTACCAAATGCACCAATGGGTAAACAGGTATAAATCAAAAAAGAAAAAGTTATTTCCCTCATAAAAGAATCCAAGGAAAATTTACAAAATTATTCCAGCTACGTGAATTTTACACAACAATGGTTTATTTGAACAATCTGAAAGAATCTCAAGAGTACAAAGAATGTCTGCAATTATTGACCTTTTTATCTAAGCAGGAACTTCTCTCAAAATTGAACTCTTTGATAGCAATTATCACAAGTTCAAAAGATTCAGATATGATAAAAGTCAAAAAAGATTTGCAGAGTTTTGAGAAAAGAATTGAGGAATCCAGTTTAGAAGTTGCAGAAAAACCTGTAGATATTGTTTCTACGGGTGAAAGACTCAGTCGACTTCAGTTGAAAGAGGTCTGAATTAAAATTCAATGATCTTTAAAATCGAAGAAAGGAAGAAAATAGAAATCAATTATTTTTGCTTTGTGTTTCATTGTAGAAATTGTTGAAAATGTCTAAAACACACTCTAAATCGCCTTATAAAATAGCACAGCAGGATTTGATCGATTATTTGGACCAGAAAGTATTTTCTGTTTATTTGATTAATCCTAATTATATACCAGGAAATGAGATATTTTGTTTCAACGATGGCAATTTAGCGAAGCAACATATTCGAGGATCTTTGAGATCTGCGATTCATACTGGACTAAACAATCCACAAGTGTACTTAAACGTGAGTGAGAAAAATATTATTTTTATAATTTTGTGCTGTGGTCATGGTGTGCTTTTAATTAACGTGAATAGAATATATAATTTTTGAAAATAAGATGTTATCTTAATGAAATTATTAACAGTAAAATTTTAGAAATTTCATTTTATCTAAAATTTTACTAACCTGCAGTCATTTTCACTCTATTACATTTTGTTGATTATGTGCATATATTATAAACAAATATTATTCAGTATATTTAGTAGTAATTTTATTAATTTATTATGAAAATATGAAGTAATCAATCATACACATATTTTCATATATAATTCATATACATTTGTGAAAATAAAATTAACAAGTTTTATTTAAAATTCTATACATAATGAAGTATCAAATATTTTTTTAAATGATTGCAAAGAAAATTCGTAATCATTTTAAATAACATACAAAATTTTAATATTGTAAAAAGAGTTGAATATGAAAATACTTATACTAATTATAAGAATATTAAAGCTAAGAGAAATAAGAAAATAAAATACGAAAACAGTTAAAATGACTGCATCCGGATTCTAATATTAATAACATGATTAATACATAACTACATTTCCATTCATAAATTATTGTAATATTATCGTAATAATATTATTATTGTATAATGAACTTGTAATTCATTTTACATTTATGATTAGAGGGAAATAGAAATTAATAAATATATATTTTTAAAATCCTTCTACAAATTTCTCTTTAAACAAAAATCATTGATTTATGAATGGAGATATAAATGTACATATACTACTTTATCCTCTCTTTTTTCAAATCTTAACAATCAACAACCAACTACATAAAATACAATTACAAAATTTAATAAATTCCAAAATTTTATTCCAATTTTCAATCATTTAAAATATACATGCGAATCTAAGTTTCGTCATTTCTTCAAAAAAATCCAGGATACGATGTTTTTCTCTTAAACTTTCTCTCGAAAAAACAGAGAAATATTACTCGTTCATTTCACGAAAAGAATACATCCTCTCATTATTCGCATTCGATACTTTTTTACTCTTTCTTCCTTTTTCATCTATCCTCCATTCATTCCATTCGAAATATTATTCGTTACAAAAGTATTCGTGATATTGATTCAATTGCTTTTCATCGAAAGAAGGTTGAATTCGCGACTTCAACGATCGTTTACCTCTGTTCACGCCACATTTATTGTTGCTTTTGATTCTTCCGGCATGTCATCGACCCTTTTATTCGCGCCATCGTTGCAAATATCGATTGTAGATTTTTCGCGATGGCGGAAAAGGTACTTTGTCGATGTCTCCTCTGCCCTGTTCTGTCCTGTCCTGTCTGTATCCTAAGTTAATTGGAAATACATATTTCAGTGCGGGTGTTGCAAATTGGAGAACGACGACGCCATTCCGTCCACGCTGCCTGACCTCAGTATAATTTACAAGCTGCACTTGGAATCCAGGAAACTGATCAATATGTACGACTGGCTCCAGGTAACGACAATCCGTTTCGTGCTCGTGTTTACAGGTTAATCACGGTTATACTTATGGTCACGTATGCCGTCCGTTTCCTGATTTTAATCGATACTCGTCGCGGCGTGAATGATTCACGCGAGTGCGCGCGGTTGTAAATGGACTTTTTAATCGGTGGAGGGTATTTTAAGGGGGTTTGTTTTATTTTTTCGCGGTCGTTAAGCGACCGCTTGGAAAATTCACAGGCTCGCAGAGTTTTGGACAAAGGAAATTAAAGTGTATGGATTGATCTATGAATTAGTTGTAAAAAGAATGGTCAAAGGTAAGATTGTAGTAAAAATTATACGGGTATTTTTGGTTATATTTTATTGGAAATTTATTGGATTGTTTTGATTGAACTAGTCGATTTTTTTGTGAAATTTTTAATTATGATTTTTGAATATTCTTTAAAATATGATTCGAATTCTATAGATTTATTTTAGTAGCAATTTGGATATCTGTTATTCTGCGATGATTCACAGGAAATTCATTAATTTTTAATTTATATAGTGCATGAACTTTGTACTAATGTAAATTTACTATAATTTAATAAAAATTTACGTATTTGTTTACAGATACATATTAATGCATTTTATTTTATTGCATCGAGATCAAAAAATACAAATATACCATAAATTTTGTTTCGTTTATATTTATTTCATTTCTCGTGGTATGAAATTTATAAAATTTATAAAGTTGAGTATATTTGTCGAATTATTTAAAATATAATGCATTTAAAAAAATAATCCTCATTACATGTTAAATCATAAATTTTAAACGCTTTTCTAATTCTTGACGTTTACGTTTTCTTATTTGAAAGAGTTGCACCATGAAATGGAAAAATGAACGGAGATACGAGCATTTCTCGGGAATTCCATTTTCACGGATGTCGACCACATTCGTAGATCGTAAGGCGTTAAGCCACATTCGCATAGAAAGGCGGGTTTTTAATGGGGCAACAAAGTTTCGTTTGCCTTTGAGATATTGCCACTTTTAACGTTAAAATATTCAATTAATTTATCATAATTTTTTTAATTTTTTTCCATCTCTTTTTTTCAATTTCACATATTTAACGATAGAAAATTTCACGATTATAAATTAAAGAAATAGAAATTCTTAATAATAACAGATTCTTTATAGTTGAATATTTTTTTTTTTCTATTTTAATTGTTCAATATTCACATTAGTAGAATTTTAAATATTTTGAATGCACGCTTAGAATGCTAAATTTTAGAAAAATCCAGATCTTTGGCTTTTTATGTACGATATTTGAAACTTGGGATTTCAAGGATTAATCCTCTGCCTCTCTCGTATAAAATTTTTTTAGCTTGCATATAAAGTTGTATCATATCCAGACTAGACCACTTCTTACAGGCATTTTTAATTATCGTGGATCCAACAAGCAGTGCAAAGGAGCAAAGGGACGTGGATCCGAAATTACAGTATCCTTTTTCATTTTCTCACGTTCCCCACTGTCGAGGAGTAAATGGAACGTAGTAGGAAGATTTGTCTAGCCACGATGCGTTTGAAATTCATATCATAGCTCGTAATGGTGAAATCGTAGCCTCGTAGCGGTTACTCGTCGGGATCGTATGCCTCTTGTTTGAATAATTCACACGGGAACACGTGTGAATTTTATCATGGTTCATGGTATCCTTAACGGAGATTTAGAGCTCGTTTTGCACAAGCGGTCGCAGAGCTGGAGTTTCTAGGTTTCATTAAGAGTTCACGAAAGAAGACCGACCATGTGAAACGACTCACATAATTATTATTTCTTGTTTAGTTTTTTCTACTTTTTTGTATTTTTTTATACTTTTTTTATTTATCCTTTTATGATACAAGATATATTCGATATTTGAAAAGTGCAAAAGTATTCTTGTATGTAGATTTTTGTCAGTTTTTTTTTTCAGAAGAATAGAAAGAAATACTCTACAATTGTTTTTTTATTTTTTATTATAATTTTTTATTTTTTATCATATATATATGATAAAAGATGTAGATTTAATCAATTTATTGATAAAATATTAATTGTATATTGTTATACAATTAAAATTCATCAAACTATGAACTCGTCATCAAAATTAGATAAGACTTGTTTTGCTACAAGTTCTTTAACATTACATCAATTATTTCAATTATAAAATATTTAATATAATTACATACGTTTCACATTCTAAAAGCAAAATTAAATTGAATAAATTTAGTTTATAGCAATAATAGGATTGCAATAATTAGATATTCATTTACATAGATTGGTTTATACAAATTATTTTTGTATTTTCGTAATTTTGTACTGTTCTAAGTACACATATACATACACATTGTAATTTTTTCGAGATATATTTTACCAAGAAGAAAATTAATAAATGGAAGACGAAACATTGTGTGATTTTTATTTTTATTTTTATTCCAAGAAATATTCTTTAGCGCAATATAGCGTGCTGAAGTTTCCGGACAAACACTTCCCTAGCTTCCTAAGGGGAAAGTTAAGATGAAATTTAGATAATAGAGGGAGTACGATATGGCGAGGAAAAACAGAAGTATACCCAAGAAACATTCTTATTTATGAGGATAATTATAATGATTAGGGATAACTGCGTTTTACCTTTCCCCATTCTAACTTATATACCCTAATTCCCGATAACACGTATAACCACCTTGCATTATATTTTGAAGAACTTTTTAATCACTCTCTAATAGTTAGGTTTAAAAAGTAATTTTAAAGACGATCATTTTCAAACTGTAACATTCGTTGTTTGGATAATTAAAATTTCACGAGAAAATAGATTTTAGAAAATAATTTGACTAACGAGGATATGAAAAATGTTTTCGTGAAATATTTGGTATAAATATGTTATTTAACGAATAAAATATTTATGAAGTAATTTCAATAATATCGTTTTTCAATAAAAAGAAAATTGTTTTATTAATCTCTTCTAGATATATCGTTAATTAAATTTTTGGTCATGGTGTTGTACGCATGTATTTATTTAAATATCATTGTTAATTAATAAGCGTAATTTCGGATTAAATGTGATAAATCGTAGAGATACGATACGAGATACGATTGAAAATTAATTTTATTCGCTACGTACAATTAGATATACGTGGTTTGAGAAATTATCAGAACTTTGATCTGATTGATAATAATAATCTGTATCGAAATCGCGAAAATCGTTCGATCTTTAAATTTGTTATTTATATTAATCTTTCATTAATATATTCGAAATTTATTCGTTTTGAATTAAATGAATAAAAAATAATAATAATAGGTTTAATATTAATAATTTTGAAAAGATTTTAGAATGTTTTCATGTTTTTAAATCTCGAAAATATATTTTATTTTTAATTATTTACATATAGAATATCTATACGTGTAATTTTTTAAGTTTGAAGGTTTGCTTATAAAATATTGGTCATCGTGATACGGTTAAAAATTTATAAAACATGATTTTATTGGCTTTTTGTTTAAATTTTAAATAAAATTGCAAACGTACAGTATTTTTTACGATACGTATCACTAACAATAAATTTTCACGGCACGATATATCGGTCTCTTTTTCCTTTCGAACATCTATGTTCCATCTGTTATTTTAATTTTTTTTATTTTTCGTATTGTTACATTAAAGAAGATAAAATTGATAATATATCGTACTAAAAAAATAATATTGATCAAAAAGATTCGTAAATAATAAATATTCTATTTATTATTTAATTTCGAAATATTCCATCAATACTTGAATAAAGTTATTTCAGGCCTCGTTTTTGATATTTGAATCAATTTCTTAAATAATAATTTTATTTAACTTAGAATTTATAATTAGAAATTAAACAATATTCGAATAACATTGTCAAATTTTGGCAATGTCGATCAATATCATCGCAGTATCAATTCCGTCACGATTGATACAAGTAATGAATTAATCATTAAATTCTCCGACTTAAACTTTATATCGGTGTTTATGGAATGGCTCTACTAGATGGCGTTACTAATGACTTCACTAACAAATCCAAATTGAAAAATTTCCTTTCTTCTCTCTTTTACAATTTCACTATAATTTTTTTTAAAGTAATTCTAATAAGAATATTATTCCAAATCATCCTCTTTCATAAAAAAATACGATAGAAGCCATTTTTTTTAACAATTCTAAAAAATATCATTATAAATAATATCGTTTCTTATTGAAACATAATATCATTTATACATGATATACGAGATGCACAGCATTCGATCTTTCCTTTCGTCAACACGAAACCTCATTATCGACATTTCACACGTGGAATGCGTGGCGTGTAACGCGCATAGGCAAAGTGAATACTATGGATGACAGGTGTCTGATGCAGATAAACCGCGGAAGGGTAAATTTGTGAAGCAAGCAGAATTTAATTCGCTATTCAATGCATGGACGTAACGCGTGCCATCTATCATATACGTTTACGAAGGTAGAAACCGCTTAACCGTGGCCCTGGCCTGGGGCTTTTGACACATTCCTTACGGATCCACCTGCCTTTGAACCGCATACGACCATGAAAGCCGTTTCGCGATATGATCGATGTTGAAGATTTCTACCACCGCGAAGTTACAACTACGTAACTACTGAGATAGGCGTTGTTTCGAGGCTGACTGGATTAATTTCCGGTTGTTTTGTTTGAGTTTAACTCCTAATTCCTGCTCTCTCGATGTCTAATTCGAAGAAATGTGAAATTTAGGAGATTATTTAACTTTTTAATCGAGAAGTAGAATGTGAAAATTGATATAAAAAATTAATAATAATAATAGTAAAATTCATAATTTGAAAAAATTGTAGATAAATTTAAATTTAATTTGTTTGTAGAGAATAATACATTTTTAGTATTATTTTTTCATTTAATCCCTTAATTATAGGAATAGGTCTAAATTTCTATTGAGAAAAATTTTAATTTGAAAGATTAAACCTAAAAGTTTAATTATGTATAAAGTTAGTATAAAATTATAACGTTAA